ATTGAAGAAAATAAAGGTCAAGTTAAAGCAAGCTGATCAAGAAGCAAGATCTCAAGTAATAACTAGATAAGTCTTGACTGCTTAGCTTAGTATGTAAAATGAACTTTTAGAATTTGCAAATTTTACTTGGCCATTAAAATAAGGATTTCAAGAAAACCTAAACTTAATCTTTTTGAATATAAGAATAAGTTGGACATATTTCTCTCTTTTTTACAAATATTTTATATTGATATAAAATTTTCTATTTTTTTTATCGTATATAATGACGTATTGTATCCTTAATTTAAAATAAAAATAAAAATCGTACCCTCGTATCTGTGTCGTATTAAGTATCTAGACTTTATAAGTCTTCTACTACCGTTTTTAATTGGTCTTCCGGTGGAAAGCTAGTCCATGAGTAGCTTTTTAAGTCTTACGTGTGAGCCATGTTCTATAGAAAACGCTGGTCTGCAAAAGCAATTCAACGTTTTAAGATAATCCAACCACTACACACAAATAAAATCTGGCATATATTATGAAAATACCTATTTCAAAATCAAAAGAAATTCACAACTTCTAGTTCTAGCTCAACAACTGAATGACGCACTAATCATCGTACCCTACATAATTTCAATCGAAGAATAAAGAACAAAGAAATAGTTCCTTACCAGTTACCACCTTGTTTTTACACAATACACGTGAATGGTGAGTGGTGACAGAATTATTTTTAAAGTTTTCAAAATATAGAGTAAAGAGACAGAAAACTAACAACATGCATATTATACTGTATTAGTCGTTTAGTTAGAATTTATTATTTTTTTTATTGTCATTATACTAAAATTAATGACTTATTATTTTTTTTTCTTTTCATTTTTACCTATTAAAGTATGTTTACTAAATATTATGTTTATTTATTTTTAATATCTATCTATTTTTCTCTAACTATTTAATATTGCATTTAAAAAAATAATATATTTCTAATAAAATATTATAAAAAAATAAAAAATAAAATAAAAAAATAAGTAATAAATATTTATAAAAATTAAAATATTAATTATTTTTTTTAAATCTCGTGCAAAACCTATCTAGAGTACCAATTAGTTTTCGGAACGTAATAATTCATAAAAGCACTTTTCAACTAACCATAACCATGCATTTCCCGATAGAGACAAAAAGACAACAAAATTGCAACAACTACGAGATTTTCTGCCCCCTGGCCCTGTATTCCTTCCAAACCACCCATTTATCAAAACAATAGAAAGAGTTATCCAAATTATGGTCGGAATTCTTAAAATATTAATATTTTTTAATAAATTTATTATAAAATGATTATTTAATTTAATATTTTATAATTTAAATCATTATTTTATTCGTTCGGAAAGAATCCTTATCTTCTTTTTAATCCCTGGCTAAAATTAAAAACTAATTTATTGGGATAGTTAAATGTATTTAAAGGACACATCTTTCTTGCTTATGAATGAATGAAAACTGTTATTCGAAAACACCAAGTGTTATCCACATTTTAAAAAAAGAAAAAGTCATACTAATAGTGCGGCCCTATTGTTTTGCTGAGATTTTGAAGAACCATATATTTCTGCCAAGCATAAACTAACCACTAATTTCGTTGGTAGCTTCCAAACACACTACTCAAATGAAAAAATTTTAAAAATTGCACCGTATATACTCGGAGTATTTAAAAAACCAAAACAAATCGATCTATTCTACTTTATAAAAGTAGAGAGCTTCATATTTTAAATGGATAGGTTAGACTTCTTAAAATTATAAAAATCATGTTCTTTTAAATTGGATCAATTCTTTTGTATATATATATCGATCGATTTAAAAATAAATTAAATAACTTAAAGAAATCATGCAATGTAGATTATTTCGGATTGGTTCGAATTTTTTTATTTTTACACACCCGTATCCGCATTCCAAAATCATACAACTTCTTACCCAACATTAGAATCCAACACACTTCCAATATCTCCATACATTTGTAGTAAATTCACCCAGTCAATAAAAAAAGCAAGCAATTTCTTAAGCTCACATCATCTATTTAGCAAGAAATCCCATGATAATTCTCGCCACATGCAAAATCCCTTTATTCAACCAATGACAGTCACACTAAAGCCAATCAGAATTGTTCAGATTCGGTAAACATGGACAAACCCTTCACACAAAAAGAAAAAAAAAAAAACTCTTACTCAAATCTAGAGCATATAATTTTACATAAGCTCTCATAATCCTATCTAGCTAGAACACAATTATCTCATGATCTTGTACTAAGGCATTAGCAAAATGAAGTAGTCCCTCGTCTTGTTTACACACAAGCAGCAAACAAAACAAAACATGCTCATCAAAACGACATAATAAAACATATATATATATATAATAATCGACATGGGAACAATGGTTGTTGTCGTTGTGGTCGTAAATTTGCAATAGATAATTTTTTTTTTTTTTTTTTAAAAAGAAAAAGAAAAAGTTGTAAAGGTAATTAAGCTAAACCCTGATGAAGTAAATGCTGAGTTCAGGACCCCCAGTTCCATCAGGGTTCATCATGTAGAAGGCTTCAGAGTCTTTGGAGCCCACAACCCTCTCATACCTCGCTCTCATGTACATCACTTCCCCCTCGTCGGAGACACCTCCACTCACCGGCAACACGCCCGCGCCCATCGAAATGGGCTCCACGGCCCGCAGCACGGCCCAGTCCTCGGGCCCGCACTGGCGGCGGTTGGCGTACCCGCACTTCCTCCCGTTGCAGTAGCTTCTCCAGAGAGGCTCCTCGAGCAGCTTGCGACTGGTATTGGCACCCCCCTTGTTGGGCTTGTCGCACTCGAGGGCTATCCGGACGAGGCCCGAGGCCATCTCGCGGACGAGGAGGCTGGTGGGCGTGGGGAGCTCCAGGAGGAAGGCCGGGCCCAGCTTGGGGTTTTCCTGGAAGGCGAACCGCACGTGGCCGCGGCGGTGGCCGAAGAGCGTGCCCACCACACGTGTGCCGAGGGAGGGTGGTCGCTTCGTGAAGGGTAGCGTGAGTAGGGCTGACTTGAGCTTCGACCTTGAGAAGTGGGGTCTTTTGCTTTTCCTTGGTGGTTCTTGGAAGTGGGAGAAGGAGGTTGTGTGGTTTAGGATTTCTCTTTCCTCTTCTCGTTCTTGGTCCTCCTCCTCCTCCTCCTCCTCGTCCAAGGGCTTCTTTTTCCAGTGGAAGTATCTCCTTGAGAAGGAGAAGGAAGTGTCGTGGGGGGATTTGGCCGACATTATGGTCTTCATTACGTTGTCTTGTCTTGTCTTGTGTTGGATTTGGATGGGTGGTTTTATTTTATTCTTGGCTTCTGTCAGGGTTTGTGATTGTGATACCAATTACCAAAGGACAAGCAAGGGAATCTGACAAAAGGAAGCTCACCACCCTCCACCTACCTCTTGCCTTTCCTACAACTCACTCCCAACAAAATTTCTTTTCAAAAACACTTGGATCAACTTGCTTAGATAAGTTTTAGGTGTTTTTTTTTAATAAAAATTAAATTTTTTATTTTAGTAGTTAACTCAGATTTGTATTAAATATAAGTGTTTATATTATTAAAGTAAAATTTTAATTCTGATTAAAGAATAATATGAATCATACTTAAAGAAATTATGGTTATGAACAATTTCAATAGGTTGTTTGGATTGTTAATTGCGAGTAAACAACTTAGCTTATTAGGAATATGCATTGAGGTTAGTTGATGTGACATGAAAAAGAAAATTACTTGTTAAAATAACTTTTTTGTTCTGTGAAATTGTTTTGTGAAAATAACTTATTGAACCAATATTATTGATGAGAATAAAAAATGAAATATAAGTTATAAAAAGTGAAGGTGTTAACAAATAACTCTTATTATAAGGAAAATTTTATAAAAAATATAGTATGAGTTTCTACTCTCATACTTGGGACTCTCTTATGTTTTGGGTCATTTCGCACTCTCGTGACAAATTACATTGCAGCTAGTGAACAGTAGACTTTGCTCTGTTGTATATGTTTAACCATGAATATTTCATAATCCATTATAGTATGTGGGTCTTGACATTATAACTCTTTAGTGAAACTATGAATACGAGTTCATATATTTTTTATTTAATTATTTTATTTATGAAATACTCATTATTTTATTGATGATTAATTTTTATTAAAAAATTGGCTAATTATTTTGATACCTTAAATTTAATATCATTTAAATTAACAACTTGTTTATATGAGTCCTAATTATGTAAAAACATTTTTAAATATAAAAATTTATAACATAAAAGTATATGCATAATTTAATTAAAATGACATGTTTTATTACATTAAATAAATAATATAATGTTAATAATTTTTTTAAAAAATAAATATATTATATTTTTCATTCATTTTACTTGTATACTATCTACCATTCATTTAAATACACTGTATACATAACTTTGACAATCAAAAGTGGTGCATCTCCAAATTAGAAAGATTAAAGTATGACAAATTTTTTTAAAATATAAAAATTTATCACATAAAAGTATATACATAATTTAATTAAAATAATATATTTTATTATATTAAACAAGTAACATAGTGTTTAAAAATTTAACATAAAATGTCCTTTTTTTCTTTTTTTATTTTATCCCTAAAATATTTGAAACTATATTTTTAATCTCTATATTATGTGTTCATTTTTAATAATTTATGTATTCATTATAAAAACAATGAATATAGATTTAGAAGGATAAAAACTAAATAAATATATTTTATAGAGACTAAAGCAAAAATTTATTCATTTTACATGAATAAAAAATAATATTTACAAATTTTAGACTCATAAAAAACAAAGCAAGCATTTCATAGAGACTAAAATTTAAAAAAAAAAAACTCTAATTTATAAGGATAAAAATATATTTAAATATAATTTTATTTTTAAAAATAATATAAAAATTATCTTGCAATTATACAATTTTTTTTTTTAAAAATGGTTCTCCCTTAATTATGGGTTCAAAACAGTTACACGTCCGAACTACTTGTAGGATCGACGTCGGTTTATGGCCACTATATGTGAATATTTAACTACGGTTAAAATGAAAATGCATTATACCACTATTACAAAACTAGAGTAAGGTAAGATCATCGATTATACTACTAAATTATATAAAAGTAATTATAATTTTAATATTATATACAAACTTAAAGAGATTAATGAAATTATTATTTATTTTTACATAAAATCTAATTATATAAAATATAATTTTAAAATACTTTTTTTTAATTACAAATTTTACATCATTTTATATTTATTTGTTATCAAATTAATTTTCAGTTCTTTCATCTCAATATTCTCTTCAATTCTTTCTCCTCACTTTAAAGGTTTTTATTTATTTGAGAAAAACATTAAATAAATTTTACACGACAGATATTTCTAATCCTTTTATTGCATGGTGTCTAAAGTAGAAAAACAAAAAAGATATATTTCAATACAAGATGGATTAAAAAAGAAAGTGAAATTAAAAAGTGGATTTTGGTGGGTAGTGAAGAAACAAAAAAGACAAGCTTTTCATTGTGATTTGTTCACCAAGGGTGTGGGGGTCCATAGAGGAAGAAGAAAAAAGGAAGGGTAAGCATAGGACTGTTTACTCTAGCTACTCTGAGTTGCATTGGAAACAGTTAAGAGCAGGTGAAGGCACACCTACCACACCCACCACCCCACTCTGCACCATGCCTTCAGCCACCATTGTGTTCTGTGTTGCCATCCTTTCACAATGAAAACTGCCATCACCCTCTCATACCACACCACACATGCATTCAATAATGCTTACCCTTCTGGATATGCACTTTTTTTCATGCCTCCTGCTATAAACGTAGTAGTAGTAGTAGTATCTACAAGTCTCATCTACATTTTTTACATGCTTGCATGCACATTGAGAATCAACGTCAATTTTAAATAAAGAACCGTACTAATTATATTTAAGAAATTATAATAAATTTTGTCCATTCATTGTTTCTGTTACATGTAGAGAGTGTTGATTCACATTTTAAATTTTGTATTCAAACATAAAGTGAATGGGATATCGTGGAAAAGCTTATGGAACAAGAAAATACCTATGGTATCTATAGACCAGTAGTAAAGCATTCTTTAATTCAATGTATTGATTTTTTTAAATATATTTTGTAACTGCTGTACTTCAATAATTTTGCTGCTTTCCGTAGATCTTCGTCTTCCATATGAAAGTACACATTTTTTTGTCATTAGTCATTATTATTTATACTAAATTCTAAATCTTAAACTCTAGACATGTTGAAGGATCTGTCCAGGAATCTTCGACTATGTATATATTTAAAATATACATATATGGAATATATATGGAATGATGCCTAAAATAATTTATTAAGCTTCGTTTTATCAAATAATAGATGTTTAAACGAATCTGAATACCGAAAGCCAAGCAAAATCATTTAATTACTTTATCTAAATTCGTATATATAAACTAGTATTGAGCTTCTGTGTGTTATATAATAATTAATTGACATTCATTAAGTAAAGCTCTTGCATCAATTTGATTTTTTTTAATGAGTTAATATGGTAATTTTTAATTTCATTCTAAAACATATGAAAAATATATGTTAAAATTACGACATGCTTTAATTTCATACTAATTACAATTACTTATGATAATTATGAATTAAATTTTAAATTAACGTAGGAACTTTTTCAATAGAAGTCTACCAATTTTCTACGCCTAAAATTGTCTTAAATAAAGCCAGTATTTTCTCATAGGAGTAATAGTCATAATCATAATAATAAAGAAATAAAAATAGTACAGTAATAGATTTTGGGTGGAAGTTCAACAGCTCAACCATGTGGGAAAGTTTATAACATCATCATATCTATAGAAGCATTGAGCCAATAAACTACTACACCCTATGGTAGAGATATAGATGAATAGGGTTTTGGCTATTGGGCGATTATTATCTTGTTAGTGTGAATTATTTGAGTTCATCGGATCCCAAGACACCATAAGTATACAAAATTCAATGTTGTCCAAAGAAAAATAATTATTAGAACTTGTCTCGTGCTACTTGCTCAGAAATGTTCATTATGATCATCAAAGTGGGGTAAAAAGTCAAACACTGTTGACAGTGTTGAAGAGGGTGGGTCCTTTCAATCAACATAGGACTGAGGATTATGTGTGGTCGCTTTATTTGGTGTTGGGGACCCACCTTTCTCACGGATCACCTAACATTGATGCAAAAACCAACCCTAGGACTAGTGTTGCATTATGTCATGTGTGAGCTTTTCTTTTTCAATGGCCTTTTCTAACCCAAGAAGATAACATAATACTGGACTAGAAATAGTGTTTAATGTGTTGCTTAGTGCAAACCGTTTACCTATCTCTAATTTATTAGCAATTATTCAAAATCTACGAAAACCTACTAGATCTTGGGTGCTTTATCGAGTGAGAATGAAGTGAACGTGAGATGAAAAAGGAAATAGTCTATTCCATCAAGATTCAAAGAATAATGTTTCTCTCACATTGTTAATTTAATATGTCTATTTCCTATCTTTAGGATAAAAAAAAACGATGAAAATATTTAGATAGGTTTGTGTTTCTTCTTCTTCTACCTTAAAAATTGAGATGTGGGAGTAATATAAGAAAATAAATGGTATCAAAATTTTACAGTTAAAAATGAGATTTGTGAGTAATGTAAAAAAGAAAAGAAAAAATATTTTTGGAGTGTCTATAACTTGAGAGAGATCAAAAGAAATGAGAGATAAATTTTTCCTTTTTAGTACTTAAGGGGGACTAGAAGTCTAAATTACATTCCACTAAAAGAAAAAATAGCATACAAGTATGCTAGTAACAATGATTGAATAAAAGTAGGAGGAAAATCATAAATCTAAAAAGCTTCTCCAAACGAGGCCTATGTTTGACAAGGACATCCACAACTTGATTGACTTCCCTAAAAATATGAGAGCAAGAGATAACATGCTTTTGTTGTATTAGGCTTACTATATCTTGTACTAAAGCAAAACATGGATGTGAACACCCCTCATTAATAAGATTAACTGCTATGGTGGAATCAGATTCTATCAAGACTCTTTCTCCAATCCTACGTTCCCGAATGATATGTAACCCATGAAGAATGGCCCTTAGTTCTGTTTTAGCAATAGAGCAACAACCCAATTTACATGAAAATGCTACTAAACATCTTCCCATTTTATTACAAATGACTCCTCCACGCAAGGCTTCACTTCCCCTAGTGACTGCACCATCGCAATTGAGCTTTATATGATCAACTAAAGGAAGTGTCTACTGTATGAAAGGGTTAGTCACCGTATGTCTGATTCATGTAACAATAATAGGAGTATTCGAAACTCAACTCCTAGTGATAACATAGGTATGAGTATTAATCTCTGCCACTAACTGGTTTGAATTGATATGTAGAT